TTGAAGCAGCATCAGGTACCTGGAGCAGTTGGGTGCGTGGCTCCAGACCCAGGCTTAGTGGCGGAATTAGAGCAGGAACAAGAAGATGAGAACATAGAGGAAAGGCTGGGAGAGAGGGGCAGGGGAGTGGTGGAGCTGTTAAGTGCTTGGAAAAGGAAGCAATCATGGGAGAAGACCAAGGAAGAGACCCTACCGATTACAACAGAAGGGCACAGATCTTTGATAAGAGCTCCGAAGTTTTCCAGGCTCTCAAGGAACAGGGACAACAACAAAATAAGAATCGCCAATCCTGAGTCTGCCTTGAGATTGTAATAACTCATGTGACATGTAATAATAGAAAATTAATAATCGAAGCAGGTTGTAACAACAATAGCATCATTGTCTCTGATTTGACATGTCCAACGAACTCATACCCCATCTTGGTGGGTAGTGGGCTCATTCAATTCTCAAACACACGAACTCCGCTAATAAATATTTTAGGAATTAGCCATGTTTCTCGACTAGAGAGAAAGGGAAGAATATCACACTTGGTAGCACTGGTTATAACAAAAGGAATCAAATATCACGTTTGATTGTAGCAAAAACAAAACTTAGCAACCATATTTGATTGTCCCAAAAAAATTTCAAATTTGAGAGAGCAATCTTATTCTTCTGATTGACATTAAAACAGAAGCAAGAGCAAGAGTTAACAAGAGAAAAATACAATCTGAAAAGTCAAGTTTATACAATGCTGCCAGGAATTACCCTCATCATTTAACTGTCCGAAAGTAAATCAGAAAAATGAAACTGCATTATTCAAGCAACTCTATCTGTGGTTTCCTCATTAGCAACCTGATAGATGAACAACGAAAATCTTGCCAAGATTTGAGGCCCTGTTCACTTCTCCTCAGGCTTTGGTTTCTCAAAAAAGGTCTTCTTCAACCAATCAAATGGCTATAAAGAGAAAAAATTTACGAGGTTAGCAATTGTTTAACAAAAACATGATCTCCTATTAACATTGGGGTACGGCAATGGCAAAAGTCCCAGGATACTGGGGCATGGTTTCCCCAGGGTGCTTAAGATTAAAACAAAAACATGAACCTGTTAAAAATACAGAAGTACAAGTTGGCATCGCAATGCTGACATTACTATCAATATACAAAACAGACTTACATTAATACATAATCGGACTCAAGATGTGATACTGTGATAGATGATGGAAGAAACAGTTCAACTAAAAAAATGACACAGCAAGGCAGAACACAAGAAGAATATTCAGAAACATAACATAAAGAAAACAAAAGAAAATGCCCATGATAGCATTACAACATTCTGAAATATGTTAAAATTAGGTTATGTTTAGCAGAAAACCATTATGCCAAAAAACAAATAACTGGGATCAACACAACTCCGAATCACTCAGTTCAACGAGTTTCCATAAAGTAAATTTCTCACCAAGCAGATACCATCGTAATTGAGAAGACAATGGGCCAACAGCTCTACCATTGAAGTAATGTAATGTCAATGAATTTTTTTTTTCAACTTAATATATTCTCATAGTTCCCCCATTATTTGGGAGATTACTATCAGTTTTTCAACCACAATTTCGGGAATAAGTCGTTAACAACCCCCATTTGATCACAACACAAAAGCACATTTGATTGATTGAAGCAAGATATTTCAAAGATATTCAAGGGAAATTAGATTAATGGTTATCTTTTAATCTAAAAAACAAACAAAAACGAATCATCTTCTTATTTCAGGTCAGAAAATCTGGAACACTAAATCAAATGGCAGATCCAAAAAATAACATGTAGATGATTGGTATACTTAAATTCTGAGGGAAGGATTATAGGATTCGTAAACACAAGATATATAGAAAGACAGGAATCTAATGAAGAGCAAAGAAATGCAGGAGATTTGAAAGAAAGAGAGATACTTGGACGAGATAAAGAGCAGTGGAGGCGGCAGCGACGCCCCACAAGGCGGCAGCACTGATATCGATGGGTTGTGGGCGAAGCCTTGGGCTCAGAAACTTGAAGATGGTAGCTTCTCCGGCCATCGCCGATTTGGAATTCAGAAACCCTAAAACTGCAACGAAGAAAAGGAATCCGCTTTTGAAATGTCTGGTCAATGGGGAAGAAGAATATGATAAATCACCGTCCGTAATAAATTTTACTGCACAGTGGCAGTAGTATCTTTTTTAAGAGCAATCCCACGTGGCAATCGTTTACTAATAATTACTGTATAAT